CCTTCGCGTCGAAAGGAGCCAGTTGAGGTGGTTCGGGCACCTAGTTAGGATGCCACCTGGGCGCCTCCCTAGGGAGGTGTTCCAGGCACGTCCAGCTGGGAAGAGACCAAGGGGTAGACCTAGGACCAGGTGGAGGGATTATATCTCTTCGCTGGCCTGGGAGCGCCTTGGGATCCCCCAGTCAGAGCTGGTTGATGTCGTTAGGGAAAATAAAGTTTGGGGCTCTCTGCTGGAACTGCTACCCCCGCGACCCGACCACGGATAAGTGAGAGAAGATGGATGGATGGATGGATGGATGGATGGATATTTGTTCATTTAATTCATACATCTATGAGGATTCTGTATTTATTAATGTATATAATACCTGAACCAATAACCTCTGCATTCAGCTCAGAGCTTGAGATGTTAAGATGTGCGTTAAAGAATAACTGTAATACTTACTTGGTTATTAAAATGCACATGATGACTGTAATAAGCTTGTTTCAAAATCTGGGGAAAATAATTGAGATGTTCTGCTGAACCTTAAAGAATTCATGACGATAGCTGATAGGTTGATAAATAAAACAGGCAACATGGTAGAGAAGGTGGGATGCTGTCAGGGAACAAATGGGGGTTCAAATGAACACAAAGCAGACTGTCTGTATATTTGACATCCAGAAAACCTGCCTAATCTCTAACTGCAACACCACAGTCTATTGTAGATTATTGATTATGTGTGTCCTAGGTGCGAAGTCGGTCAATACACTTATGTTAATAATGTCAGGAAGTCTCCGAGAAACCGTGACCTTCAGACAAGTGAAGCGAAGAGGATTCTGTGCAAAATAAAGTCGACACAAGACAACACATCAGATTCAGGAGAATATCCTGCATTCAAAAACAAAAAGCCTCATGCTTAAGAGGCGTAACAACCTTATACCTTCCAGGAGTTGGGTTTTAATACGGCTGCTTTACCTGCAGTGATGGATTTCGTAGTCACTATCTTAGAGATGGATACTCTGTGACTCATTTTTTTTTTTGCATATCTAGCAACCCTCCATTTTTGAACTTACTACAGTTAGGGGTCACCTGGCCATGAACATTACCATTGAAAGCTGTCCACAAAAAACAAGTTTGCTGTAAGAAAATCTAAACTGATAAATACGTTATGTAAGATTATCTTTTTTAGCAGAAAGCCCAGTTGGTGAGATGTGTTTGTTGTTATAGTATCAGCAGAAGGCTGGTTAGAGGGATGAGTCAAAGTCAGATGAAGAGAGTTAGGCCAATATGTCATCCTCACAAATGCAAAGAATAAAAAGAAAGACTTCTGCAAAAGTTAATGGTGAAAATAAAACTGGATTTTGCCAGAAATATATAGCCGTAAAAGTCACTGCAAAATCCTCTTCTTCATGTCTCTTCTACATCAACATGTGTCCCCTCTTCTCCATGTCTCTTCTACATCAACATGTGTCCCCTCTTCTTCATGTCTCTTCTACATCAACATGTGTCCCCTCTTCTTCATGTCTCTTCTACATCAACATGTGTCCCCTCTTCTTCATGTCTCTTCTACATCAACATGTGTCCCCTCTTCTTCATGTCTCTTCTACATCAACATGTGTCCCCTCTTCTTCATGTCTCTTCTACATCAACATGTGTCCCCTCTTCTCCATGTCTCTTCTACATCAACAGGTGTCCTCTCTTCTTCATGTCTCTTCTACATCAACATGTGTCCCCTCTTCTTCATGTCTCTTCTACATCAACATGTGTCCCCTCTTCTACATCAACATGTGTCCCCTCTTCTCCATGTCTCTTCTACATCAACATGTGTTCCCCTCTTCTCCATGTCTCTTCTACATCAACATGTGTCCCCTCTTCTTCATGTCTCTTCTACATCAACATGTGTCCCCTCTTCTTCATGTCTCTTCTACATCAACATGTGTCCCCTCTTCTTCATGTCTCTTCTACATCAACATGTGTTCCCTCTTCTCCATGTCTCTTCAACATCAACATGTGTCCCCTCTTCTTCATGTCTCTTCTACATCAACATGTGTCCCCTCTTCTTCATGTCTCTTCTACATCAACATGTGTCCCCCGTCTTCTTCATGTCTCTTCTACATCAACATGTGTCCCCTCTTCTCCATGTCTCTTCTACATCAACATGTGTCCCCTCTTCTTCATGTCTCTTCTACATCAACATGTGTCCCCTCTTCTCCATGTCTCTTCTACATCAACACGTGTCCCCTCTTCTTCATGTCTCTTCTACATCAACATGTGTCCCCTCTTCTTCATGTCTCTTCTACATCAAACACGTGTCCCCCTCTTCTTCATGTCTCTTCTACATCAACATGTGTCCCCTCTTCTCCATGTCTCTTCTACATCAACATGTGTCCCCTCTTCTTCATGTCTCCTCTACATCAACATGTGTCCCCTCTTCTTCATGTCTCTTCTACATCAACATGTGTCCCCTCTTCTTCATGTCTCTTCTACATCAACATGTGTCCCCTCTTCTTCATGTCTCTTCTACATCAACATGTGTCCCCTCTTCTTCATGTTTCTTCTACATCAACATGTGTCCCCTCTTCTTCATGTCTCTTCTACATCAACATGTGTCCCCTCTTCTTCATGTCTCCTCTACATCAACATGTGTCCCCTCTTCTCCATGTCTCTTCTACATCAACATGTGTCCCCTCTTCTCATGTCTCTTCTACATCAACATGTGTCCCCTCTTCTTCATGTCTCTTCTACATCAACATGTGTCCCCTCTTCTTCATGTCTCTTCTACATCAACATGTGTCCCCTCTTCTTCATGTCTCTTCTACATCAACATGTGTCCCCTCTTCTTCATGTCTCTTCTACATCAACATGTGTCCCCTCTTCTCCATGTCTCTTCTACATCAACATGTGTCCTCTCTTCTTCATGTCTCTTCTACATCAACATGTGTCCCCTCTTCTTCATGTCTCTTCTACATCAACATGTGTCCCCTCTTCTACATCAACATGTGTCCCCTCTTCTCCATGTCTCTTCTACATCAACATGTGTCCCCTCTTCTTCATGTCTCTTCTACATCAACATGTGTTCCCTCTTCTCCATGTCTCTTCAACATCAACATGTGTCCCCTCTTCTTCATGTCTCTTCTACATCAACATGTGTCCCCTCTTCTTCATGTCTCTTCTACATCAACATGTGTCCCCTCTTCTCCATGTCTCTTCTACATCAACATGTGTCCCCTCTTCTTCATGTCTCTTCTACATCAACATGTGTCCCCTCTTCTCCATGTCTCTTCTACATCAACACGTGTCCCCTCTTCTTCATGTCTCTTCTACATCAACATGTGTCCCCTCTTCTTCATGTCTCTTCTACATCAACACGTGTCCCCTCTTCTTCATGTCTCTTCTACATCAACATGTGTCCCCTCTTCTCCATGTCTCTTCTACATCAACATGTGTCCCCTCTTCTTCATGTCTCCTCTACATCAACATGTGTCCCCTCTTCTTCATGTCTCTTCTACATCAACATGTGTCCCCTCTTCTTCATGTCTCTTCTACATCAACATGTGTCCCCTCTTCTTCATGTCTCTTCTACATCAACATGTGTCCCCTCTTCTTCATGTTTCTTCTACATCAACATGTGTCCCCTCTTCTTCATGTCTCTTCTACATCAACATGTGTCCCCTCTTCTTCATGTCTCCTCTACATCAACATGTGTCCCCTCTTCTTCATGTCTCTTCTACATCAACATGTGTCCCCTCTTCCCCATGTCTCTTCTACATCAACATGTGTCCTCTCTTCTTCATGTCTCTTCTACATCAACATGTGTCCCCTCTTCTTCATGTCTCTTCTACATCAACATGTGTCCCCTCTTCTTCATGTTTCTTCTACATCAACATGTGTCCCCTCTTCTCCATGTCTCTTCTACATCAACATGTGTCCCCTCTTCTTCATGTCTCTTCTACATCAACATGTGTCCCCTCTTCTTCATGTCTCTTCTACATCAACATGTGTCCCCTCTTCTTCATGTCTCTTCTACATCAACATGTGTCCCCTCTTCTTCATGTCTCTTCTACATCAACATGTGTCCCCTCTTCTTCATGTCTCTTCTACATCAACATGTGTCCCCTCTTCTTCATGTCTCTTCTACATCAACATGTGTCCCCTCTTCTTCATGTCTCTTCTACATCAACATGTGTCCCCTCTTCTTCATGTCTCTTCTACATCAACATGTGTCCCCTCTTCCCCATGTCTCTTCTACATCAACATGTGTCCTCTCTTCTTCATGTCTCTTCTACATCAACATGTGTCCCCTCTTCTTCATGTCTCTTCTACATCAACATGTGTCCCCTCTTCTTCATGTCTCTTCTACATCAACATGTGTCCCCTCTTCTTCATGTCTCTTCTACATCAACATGTGTCCCCTCTTCTTCATGTCTCTTCTACATCACCATGTGTCCCCTCTTCTTCATGTCTCTTCTACATCAACATGTGTCCCCTCTTCTTCATGTCTCTTCTACATCAACATGTGTCCCCTCTTCTTCATGTCTCTTCTACATCAACATGTGTCCCCTCTGTGGAAAGAGACTCTGAAAGTTTCAGGAACAAAGATTCTCTCTCTTTTTGATCAATTTCTATAAAAACCTGTCTGAAAATGAGCTGATCAGATTTTGGCCACTTTATGATGTCATAACGATGTGTTGTCTTGTGTAACCATTAGCCAATCAGCAACCAAGGTGACCCCCCCCCCCCCCCACCTTATCACCTGAATCTCCTCCTAGAGCACCATTGAGTTCTTTGTAACCAAATCTCTCTCAGAGGGGCGTGGGGAGGGGCTCCTTATTTTCATCTAAAGTAACAGACAGAGAATCAGCACTTTGGAAACAGGACTGAAACATAGGGGATTATGGGTAATGCTGCAATGATCTGTTTGGTGTTTCAGCCAATCAGAGACAGGTTCTGTATATATCTGAGACCTGTGATATATTGATGAAAAACAGTATAATAGGGGACCTTTAAGTGAGTGCAGTTCTTACCTCGGTCCCTGATGGTGTGGCCCCCGGTGAATCCATTTTACGTTTTTTTCGGGGTCCGATGGCGGCTAGTGCTGTAAGGTTAGCCTCTCGCTGCCTCACCTGAGCCAGTTCCTGCTGTTGCATCTGGTAAAGACAAGGCGAATGTTAGAAAATAATGATATCAACTTCACTAAATGGGTTGTAGTGTTTCACCAGTATCACCTTATGCACCAGTGTCCCCAACGCGTGAATGTTGCACCAATATCTAAAACCCTTGATTATTATACAAATCTTTAATTTGTCCTCTATGTGGTGGCTGTAAAGATTACAATGCCAAAGTCGGCATACAAAACATTCACACCAAAGTGCACTCGGCAGGGTGCACATTTCCACCAGGTGTGTCTTCCTCACCGCTCCCAAACTAAAAAGGGGTTGAATCTCACTCAGTTGTCACTTCACAGTCAAGATTGCGCTGAAAATAACAAAAACAGGAATTTATTTTTCTCCTATCCTGCCCTACCATTAGTGGATCATTTCATACATTGAATTCATCTGAGATACTCAGGTTGGAATGAGACCATTACAACAGGACTGTTTTTTAGCCTTTTGCTACTGAAGCAGTTAATGAGCCAATAATGACATAAAACAGTCAATGTAAAAAGTTACATTTTCATAATTGTGAATCTCTGCAACCACACATCTCCTTGAGCATACAATCAGAAATGAGCACAACATATATTAGGCTGAGGTGAACAGTAGTTTTCAAGATTAGCTGCAGATAAAGACACCGATGAAAACGTCCAAATGCCCGCTGGAGATAATAACTGTTGGCGATACAAAACTGGTTCATGACAAAATCCAAAAATACCCAATCGTTCCACCGACAAGTAGTAAAATAGATGGTTTTCTTGTGTGTTTGCCAAAGAGATGTCTGTCTTCTCTCCAATATAATGTCTCTAGATGGTTGTGTCTACTTGATATGTTTGTGATGTGTTATGCTTATTTTGTCTGTTCCTTCCTCTGCCCTGAACTCACTTTTTACTTGATGGTCCAAACCTCAGAAACAATACTTTCTTCCTCTGTCTATAGAAAGCCAGAAAACTGACCCTAAATATCAACAATTTCTGCTTTTAAGAGAATTTGCCACCTTAGCTGTCACGTTTGAGAGCGCCACAAGACCTGGTGAAAATGAGACAGCAATGAAGAGTATGTAGAAGTTCAAATGTAGACCTTTAACAGAGAACATATCCCTCTGTTCAGCCCCTATCTGTCCATCCATGTATTGTATAAGCTCTCTAAGCCAAACAAAATGGAAGCCTGTTGTCAGCCATTAACAGAGCTCCTGTCAAAGATCATGTGTGTGTGTGTGTGTGTGTGTGTGTGTGTGTGTGTGTGTGTGTGTGTGTGTGTGTGTGTGTGTGTGTGTGTGTGTGTGTGTGTGTGTGTGTGTGTGTGTGTGTGTAGTCACATGGTGCCTTTGTGATTTTTGCAGTTGGTGATATATAAGGGGGAGGTTGTGTGGAGGCACCGCCCGAGGTAATGTCATGTCTAGCCGCGGGGCTGAGGGGGAGCCCAGCGTCGCTAGGAGCTGCCCTTTCTATTGGGTGGATGTGTGAGGGCCCGGGGCCATGGCACACAGGGTGTCAGCACACACACACACACACACACACACACACACACACACACACACACACACACACACACACACACACACACACACACACACACACACACACACACACACACACACACACACACACACACACACACACACACACACACACACACACACACACACACACACACACACACACACACACACACACACACACACACACACACACACACACACACACACACACACACACACACACACACACACACACACACACACACACACACACACACACACACACACACACACACACACACACACACACACACACACACGTGCCTATCAATCGTGGCCACAGCAGAGGGAATGCCTACCCACCAGCTTGCCTGCGTGTTGCCTCCTGGGTTGAAGCGAACAGGGACAATCAATGCTCGCTTTCATGTCTTTCATGTTCTTTTATGTTATCTCTCAGCATGTGCACCGGGTGCTCATGTTTGTGTGAGGCACGTATATGTTGTCTGATCGGGAGAAAATTCCATGTTACTTTCAGATGGCGTCCTGTAAAAGGTTGCTTTGGTGTATAAAGTCTGATTTAAAATGTGCATGCAGTTGCCTCTGATTTTTTCCCCCGAAAAACCCCCCAGGCAAGGCATGCCCTTTAGGGTGTTGCCACTTCACATTTAGCACGGCGGAAATGTTGAAAGATTCAAACACGCTGACAACACAAAGTAGGGGGAATAATAGCAGCAGTGCCAAACAGCTGAATATCTAAATCCCCGTTTTTGTGTGTTTTAAAATGGATGGCGGTACACAATGTAGTTCAAACAAATACTAATTAGTGGTAATGTAAATGGAGACAGATGTTTTAGTGGAGAAACTAACTGGGGATGATGGCTGGATGTTGCTAACAGAGTGAAGATGCCCCTGTCCACATGGCAAATGTAGCATTAACGTTATCAATGCTAACCCTATTAGGCTTTGCCACAAACAAGACACAAATCTCTCCAGGCTTGACCTTAAAGAATCCCTCGCAGAGAGAGAGAGAGAGAGAGAGAGAGACAGAGAGAGACAGAGAGAGAGAGAGAGAGAGAGAGAGAGAGAGAGAGAGAGAGAGAGAGAGAGAGAGAGAGAGAAAACAGAGCCGGCTCTCTCTCTGATGGCACCAGGATGCCGGCATCTCTGCCTGGCAGTTGGCACCAACATGGTCTTCGAGCGCCAGAAGCAACTGCCTGCATTTTCAGATTTATGACTGTATGATAAATGAAGACTTCATTTTACCATCTGCAACCCTCCAGTCTGCGTTTCCCGTCAGTAAAACGGCCGCCATGACACTGGGAGACTGATTTCTGATTTCAATCTGGTGCCACTACGCCGAGTCTACCTTCCTTTAATGACTGCCAACTGATACAAGCCAGATTTGGCGCAGGCTTTGATAGATTTGTTTTTTCCCCGAGGAGTTGTTCCAACCACCGTTTAATTCAAACATTTACATAAAAGTATGTTCGTCTAGACACACACAGGTGTACCAAATATGCCAGAAAGTAGTAGCAGTGGCAATGAAGGAATGTGGATACATGTTGCCTTCAAAACTGTTTCAGTCCTTTTCTTGTCCTCACTGATTGCACCAAGATGCACCAGCTGCACAGGATTTACAGGGATTGTCAAGATTTAGACATAAGGGGTCACTCACTATTCAATCTATTTATATTGAATGGTGTTAAAAGGGACAGTTCATGACAAAATCCAAAAATACCCAATTGTTCCACCAACAAGTAGTAAAATAGATGGTTTTCTTGTGTGTTTGCCAAAGAGATGTCTGTCTTTTCTCCAATATAATGTCTCTAGATGGTTGTGTCTACTTGATATGTTTGTGATGTGTTATGTTCTTTTGTCTGTTCCTTTTGGGACTCTTCGTTGTCTGATTTGTTTGTATGATAACCTTTCAAATCTGGCACATGTTTTTATTGTATTCATGTTTCTGTGGTCTTATTTTTTACTTTATGTGTTTCTTGTGAAGCACATTGTGAATGTTATTTCTGCTATACTAAATAAACATATTATTATTATTACTCGGTCTGCGTTGCTCAAAGCACCAAATAAGTATGTCTGAAAACTCTAAAGCATTGCCTTTTCCAAGAAACCATGACTTAGTTAGTCAAGGTAATCAACAGACTTTGTTGTTATTGGGGACTATTTTCTTTCTATCGAACTACACCCGTCAAACCATATCACAAAAAGAGGGAAGCCTGCCAGGTCATGATTTCTGGGAAGAGACATTACTGTTGAGTTTCCAAATGTTCTTGAAGATTTTAGCATCTTAAGATGAACGTTATGTAGCTCCAATGTATTCAAGACATCTCTATGGCCAGTATCCAACAATCGGCCACTCACACCACATCAGTCGTTTGGTGAACAGCACTACACTACAAAAGGAAGAATGTAGATTTTTTTTAACTCTCCATTGAAGAATGTCATCAAACTCTGTAAGCCAGTTTCTATGTCCCACTGCACATGTATTGTATCTTAAAATGATTTAGTTATGTCGTCATTTCAGAAGGAATTGCAATCTGTGAACTACAATTTCAAGAATCTCTCTCTACCTTCTAGGTTAATATGTTGGCAATGTACCGTAAGTCACAATCAACACTGAAAACTGCAAAGGTCACTATACAGAGATTCATCCCAGAGTGGAGGAATAACCGTCTGGCAGACTGAATACATTTGCCAGGTTCGATCAATGGTACCGAATAAATATCTGCTGTTCTAAAGTCACCTAAATACCAGTGCTTCCAGTCCGCCTGTGTGCCCTTTCAAAGCTGGGAACTCCAACTTGTAAAGTCAAATTATTAGCAAAGGTCAGGAGATGTAGAACATTTTCAAGATGCCCGACAGAATCAATCTGCAGCTCTGTTAGAAAGACCTTCAGTCCTGATGCAAACACCTGATGATGGGGAAACTGGAAATATGAACATTTCGGAGGAAACACTTGTCGCAGTTTGAACAGAGCGCTGTGATACGAGTGAGTATCAGTTAACACTTTGATGTGCAAACACTGAATGTTAATCTGATATTAATCACATTAGGGTCTGTTCTCATCATGGCTCTCAGAATTACCCTAATCTGCACTGGAAATATGATTACACCTAAAAATACTCTGTTGGATTAACACACACTCTCTGCAAGAAGTTAAAGATCTCCTTTGAGAATGAATGGTATCTCCCATGTTTGAAGAAAACGTATATTAAATTCCCTAAAACACACTGCAAAACTACAATATCTCGAGCGATGAATAAGAACCACATTGGGTTAATATATGCTTGAATAAACTAGACCTTCGATACCAGATTACATGTATTCATCTAATAGCTTGTGTCATGGAGTTATGTCCCAGAAGATTCTTCCAAGTTCATATTAAGGCCCTGACACACCAGGCCGAAATCGGCCGTTTTCGTTAGTCGGACGATGAAGCGTGCCCTGTCGCCCAAACTCAATTTGGTGTGTCCCACACCGTCGGCCATGACACGCCTTATTTGGCCTTTCGTCGGCCACAGGCAGTCGGACAAAGAAAT